GACAGAAAACAAGAAGCTCAAACATGCAAAGACACACAATTACACAGAACAGAGGGGACACAGAGAGACATGAAGGGCAAGGGATCAAAACTAGAAGCCATAGAATAGATCACACACAAGTACAATAATACAAAAATCACAAAGAACTAAAAAACGCTGGGTCAGGAGACCCAGGACCGTGACACTTCCAAAGCAAAGCAAAGCAAAGCAATACATGTACAGTTCATTTCTCTAGCACATGATTTTAGCCTGCAGCTTTCTGTTTTCTTCTCTTTGTTCAATGTTGTCGTTCCTAAAGCCAAAAATGCATCCAAACAACAGACCGTGTGCCACCACACTCGGTAGTATGTTTTAAAGGAGACAGTACACACTGGGGGGAGTATTAACCAAATTTAAAGACAAAAAATGTCAATTTGAGGTCCTGAATGTCGGTTTTGATTGATTTGTCAGCCCTACAGTATCCCCTACCTGACACAACACACAGTCTGCAGCTTTTTTAACCCATGCCATTAGATTAATATGGAGTTATAAACTCATACTCGCGTAAGTATCTATTTTTGAAACTAAAAGGATGTTGAATTCCAATGAGGAATTTCCCTATAATGAGCAGAATTCATACAGTTGCATCACAGCTTTGTTAAAACCAGGAAGCCAGGCTTGTTTAAAGCAGAGTTACAACTATAGACACAAGCTCTGTGTCATTTGTTACTGTCTCATTTACCATGTTCCCCTTACTTAATGTTGTTCTTCCCTTCACTGTGTGTGTGTGTGTGTGTGTGTGTGTGTGTGTGTGTGTGTGTGTGTGTGTGTGTGTGTGTCACAGTGCCCCAAGTGTTGGACGCAATGAGCGACAGCACGGCCAGCTCCACCACAGCCAATGACCTGGACCTCATTTACCTCAAAGGCATCATGGAAAGCCCTCTGGTAGGCTTCACACAGATGCACTCGTGCACACACATATTTTAAATTCAATAAATTTTGCTGCGCTTCTGTCATTCATACTTGCACTTGCAGCACGCTCTCATCTTTGTAACCGTGTTTGTATTTGTGCGTAAGGAGCAAGAGGAGAGCCTGAAGGAGCCACGGTTGTCACCCGTGAGGGAGAATAATGTGGAGCTCCTGCAGGAGATCCTGAGAGACCTGGACCCATTCACCAATCGTTCTGACACCGCAGCCGAGCTTGCTCGCATTCTCACGCAGCCTCACTTCCAGGTGTGGAACACACAAAGACACACACACAGTGTCTCCCACTTTGTGTTTTCACTGTATTCCAGTCACAGAGGTGGTTAATTGAAGGAAAACGAATATTTCATGCATGATATTTTGTGCCTCAGTCTCTGCTGGAGACACATGATTCAGTGGCAGCTCAAGCATGTGAAAGTCCACCTCCCAGCCCATGTGACTTTGTGGATCATGAACCAGAAGACAGCCAAGCACACAACCACCTTCCACCTGATGCCATCCGCATGGTGGGCATACGTAAAATAGCCGGGGAGCATCTGGTAGGTTATTAGAATTTGGACTGTTTGCACCTTTTGTGTTTCCCATTTAAAAACATTCAGTTTGTGAAATAATAAATGCTTGTGTGGGTTGTATGCTGGTGCCATTTGGGTTTTGGATGCAGATTTTTATTAGTGTTAATGATGGAGATAATAGCCAGTAATAACTGTATTCCAGGGTGTGACATTCAAGGTGGAGGGTGGGGAGCTGGTGATAGCTCGTATTCTTCATGGTGGGATGATAGACCAACAAGGGCTGCTGCACGTCGGCGATATCATCAAAGAGGTGTGTTGCTTTTTTCTTTTTTGTTTGTTTTTTGTTTTCCTTAGTTTCATTTTCAGTTATCCTCTAATTTATTGGTTTATGGTGGAACCTTGCATTTTTAGTTCTATAGGATAGTTGTTTACTTTTTTCAGTAAGTTAGTATTTGATGAAGAATATACTTTTTGGTTTCCTGCTAAGACTATCCGTCCTATGAATGCAAGAGCCGACAGAAACATGTAGACAGCTACTGCAGACTGTTCAGAGGTAACGTCTCCAAAGCTCACTTTGTAAAGCATTATATTTCCATTGTTTCATCTACATTAAAATGTGTCTCACTGTGAGGTTAACAGGAGACCAGCTGAGACTCCAGGAAATCAGTGCACCTGGCCCACTGTCCCTGTGATTCTTGGGAGTGAAGCTATTTTTACAGCAGTAGCTGTTTCACATTTGTCCAGTTTTTTTTATGCTGTTCTGAGTTCCCGCCTGATTTACATATGAAGCTTACCGATATTACCGTATTACCGTATCAATCGTCTCGTTAAGCATTTACTTATCGACTCTTGTTCTCTTGTGTTTATTTCTTCTTGAGTGTCAACTTGTTAACCGCTATGACTCAAGGTCAGGCTCAAGCATGAAATGCCCCGGATTATTTGCGTACCTCCACAACTACCATAAAAAAAAATCTAAAATGAGAAGAGCGGTTACACATATTTTGGTACATTAAGGTGTCACTGAAATTTCTCTGGACCTTTTTTATTTTCTCACAATTGTTTGTGATAATATAAAACAATATAAAATGTCGTTCATATCATCCTAACATGATGTCATTGTCTAAAGTGGTCATTGTCGCCCCGCTGTTTACTGATCACGGCGTTCTGAAAGTCTAAATGCATAAATCTGTGTCCATACTATTGTTTAACCACTAGATGGCGAGGTAAACTATGTGTTCTTATGAAAGCATGGGGCAGAAACCCACAGCAGTTCAATCCCAATACTGTGCAAATGAATAGATCGGGAAAAAATAGCAAAAGTAAGGATCATTTGCTAGTGAAAGTTTGTTTTTTTGACATTTTATTCAGGGGTTTTTGGTCCTGGTCAACTGATAAAATTTGCAAATTTAAATGTAAAACTCTAGTCAGCTGTTTAAAACCCTTTAGCTTAACCTTTAAGACATGTAAGGAATCTTTTTTGTCATTACTCTTGTTGTCTACTTTACTGACAGGCGAATGGACGAGAAGTGGGCAGGGACCCCAGGGTTTTACAGGAAGAGCTGCAAGCAGCTAGTGGAATTGTGGTTCTGAAGATACTGCCAAGTTATCATGAATCCATACCACCTGTACAGGTGACACATAAACACACCACACACAGAATAGACACATGGGGCTAAATCTATTCTCCTTATTTGTCAGGGTTTCTATTTATTTATTTATTTTTTGGTTATTAACTGAATTTCATTGTTAGAAACTTATTTTCATTAACACTAGAACCTTGTTTTGACCTCTGTTTAATTAAAACCACGTGATCTCATATTTCATGCCGTTTTAAAAATGGATTTCTTCATCAAATAATGAATTTTGGGGTGTTTGGGATCAAAAGAGAAAAGAAAGTATAACCATTTTTACATAGAACCGCCAAGGATGTTATTTCGACCGCATAGAAACTAATGTAAAAT